GCGAGAGAGATGTAATGGCGGTGTAACCGCGAGAGAGATGAAATGGCGGTGTAACCGCGAGAGAGATGAAATGGCGGTGTAACCGCGATAAAGAAAGGACATGTGATAAATATAGATAAAATGTTTGTGATGTACAAGTTTGATTCTAAACTATTAGTTTAGAAAGTATGTTATTTTATGAGATATGTACACTCACTAGACCTTTTGGGTCTAATGCTCAGTTGTTGGACTAACCAGTTTTGCAGGTCATCATACCTCGCAGGATAAAGGAAAGGGAGAAGTTTAATGTTGATGACATTTGTTTACTCATAAATGTATTAAAGAAAGTTTTTGTTAGTCCGTGTTTCGTAACAATACTATTTTTAGTATTATGAGTATATGTATGTGGATTATCTGTATATGAAATTGTGGGTTGTTACAGTTGGTATCAGAGCCTTAGTTTAAGGGATCTGGGTATTTGCAAAATACTTATACTTAAACTAGAGGTGCGGAAGTTATGATAATAGGTTTCACTGAGTCTATGAACATGAGAATATGTTATAGCTGAACCTATTATGAGAAAGGTAGATTATATATGACTGATATAATTTGAGTTATGGATAGACTTGAGGATGAATGTATTATTATGTTTTGATTATGAAAATAATCATGTGTGTTTAAATGTGACAGAAAGAGTTATACATTGAGAAATGGCAAATAATCCCAATCAATCAGAAAGGACCTCTACTGGTTATGGAAGAGGTCGGGGAAGAAGAAACGTAACACAAGGAGAGGATCAGGAAAATGTGATGACGATAGAAACGCGAAGTCATAGCAGGGGTCGAGGAAGAGGTAGAGGTACTAGACAAGAACCGGAACTGTCGGCTCAAGAGAGTTCAATGTCTGGTTATGGAAGAGGAAGGGCAAGGGGTGGACACAATGTTCCTGATCCCGGATTTATTACCCAAGAAATGTTGGTAGTAGTGTTGGGAAAATTCCAAGAAAGTTTGGTGAATTTGTTGGGGCGTACAGCCCAAAATAAGCCAGAAGTAGTAAGAAATCCCAATTATCAGGAAGAAACCAGAGCTAGTACACCAGTAACTGGTACATCTGTACCTCTTACTTCGTCCTCAGTACAAAAGGGACGAGATATCAAAATGTTTCTTGCTTGTAAACCACCCAAGTTTTCTGGTGAGCGTGATCCTGTTAAAGCTATGTGTTGGCTTAAGGAAATAGAGCTGAGTCTACAAATTAGTAAAAATGCAGAAGAGGATAAAGTTATGTTTGTTGTGTTACGTCTGAGATCAAGTGCTTTGTACTGGTGGGAAGTCCTGTCCAGTTCAGATCTGAACAATTTGAAGACCATGTTGTGGGAAGAATTTGTGGTTAAGTTTAAAATGCAGTATTGTCCTGAAGCTGCAGTACAAAAGTTGGAAGATGATTTGCTTCGTCTAGAACAAGGAAAAATGTCAGTCCACCAGTATACAGAAGTTTTCATGGAACAATCTAGGTTTGTTGAAGCCTATATAATATCTGAAAACAGTAAAGTGAGAAAGTATATCTGGGGATTGGAGTCGAATCTTGGGAAATATGTGATATCCAGGAACCCGACAACATTTCAAGTGGTAGTTGATGCTGCTGAAATACTGGAGCAAGATATTAGCCAACAATCACAAGAGAAAGTTGGAGAGAAAAGAAAGGGGGAAGCTACAATAACTTATTTCCGTAGACTGAGGTTTATGGAAAATTTGAATCGGCCAGTCTCAAGATTTGCTGATAGGGCGTGTACCCGATGTCATAAGATACATCAGGGAAATTGCAATACAGAATCTCAAGTATGCTTTAAATGTCAGAAACCAGGACATATAGCTCGAGATTGTCGGATAACACGGAGGTGTTTTACTTGTAATTCATCTCAACATGTAAATGCCGATTGTCCGCAGGCTAAAGGTCGAGGGTCTGGTTTTGTTGGAAGTCGGGGATCTGGATATTCTGGAGGCCGAGGATCTGGTTATGTGCCAACAGGTCATGGGCAAATGGATAATCGTGATAGTCCAAGTGGACGGGGAGGGATAAGACAGGCAGAGTCTAATGCAAAAGGGAGAGCCTTTCAGATGACGAGAGGCGAGGCGAAAGAGCACCATGAAGTGGTAACAGGTACATTTCTTGTTAATTCAGTATGTGTCAAAGTTTTATTTGATTTGGGTGCAAATCGTTCTTTCGTGTCACCATCATTTGTTAACTGCGCACATTTAGAATCTAAAGCATTGAGTGAGGATCTAATTGTGGAAACAACAAATGATAGTGAAGTTTTGATTAAGGAAAGAATAGATGAGTGTTTCATAAGTATAGAAGGATGTGAGGTGCCTATACAGTTATTTCCTTTGCCTTTAAGGGAATTTGATATAATTATAGGCATGGATTGGTTAGCTGAAAACCAAGCCAACATAGTCTGTCATGAAAAGATGATTCATATAGACTTACCGAAAAAAGGAAGAGTTGTGATTTATGGAGATCGGCGGGATCGTTACTCTAGCCTAATTTCTATTCTAAAGGCTAGGAAGTATGTATAGAAGGGATGTGTTAGTTTTCTTGCATATGCTATAGATATGAAGAAAGAGAAGGGAAAGATGGAGGATATCCCAGTCGTAAGGGAATTTCCTGATGTATTTCCAAAAGATTTGATAAGTCTACCTCCAGACCGAATGATATAATTTCAGATCGAATTACTTCCTGGAGCAACACCTGTTGCACGTGCACCATATAGATTAGCTCCTTCTGAGTTAAAGGAGTTAATGTCACAATTGAAAGAATTATTGGATAAAGGATTCATTCGACCAAGTACTTCCCCATGGGGTGCGCCAGTGCTTTTTGTGAAAAAGAAGGATGAATCAATGAGGATGTGCATTGACTACCGGGAGTTGAATAAACTGACAATCAAGAATAAGTATCCTCTTCCAAGAATTGATGATTTATTTGATCAATTGGTTGGGGCTACTTATTTTTCAAA